TCCTTTGCTGTGAGGTTTTTCGAATATGAATTTATTGGTCTGTATCCTTACGGTCAATTTTTGTTTTCCACTCTATTTTTTTAGCTGTTACATTGGTTTATAACCCGTTTACCCCTTTAAACTTGTGCTAATACTGAGGCTATGATGCTTCTCCAATCAAAAGTTTAAACACGAGTTTATACATGTTGAGACAGTCTAAAACGATTAACCACAAATGTAACTACCTTTTAGATATTTGAACTAACTACGCAATATGTTTCTTAAAACGTTTGTGTTTTTACATAGTTGCCAAACAAACAGGGCGACTAGACTTGTATTTCCAATGATCGGCCATTCTTGAATCAACACGACGTTGTTGTGACCGGCTGACAGTAGTTTAAACATGGCTGGCCAGGAAGACCCAGTGCAGAGGGAGATACATCAAGACTGGGCGAATCGAGAGTATATAGAAGTGATAACCAGCAGTATTAAAAAAATCGCCGACTTTCTCAATTCGTTCGGTAAGTATGTGACTACCAACATTCCAGATTAGACTACATTTAACGTGAAGATTTTGCGTTTCGGGTTCATTGCTGTGGCTAAAGCTAGCTGCTTCAGCTAGGTCTGCTGGTGTTTTCAGCGACCACTCCCTGTAACTAACTAGATTAAATGTTAGCATCGTATTTTATAGTTAGGTAGTGGAAGCAGCCATGTTCTTTAATATAAATGTTTCACATTTCTGTTTTGAAATTTAAAGTCACAATTTATTAGATCAAATTGCCAATTATTAAAGAGGAAGCTAGCACCGGAGTAGTAGCCACTGCTAGAATGTACATCACCCACTACAACATAATGATGCGCCTGTAAATTGCATGTTTTTGCAGTGATGTCGTTTATTGTTATGAACAGTCACATTCTATATTACATCTGTAGCTTATTGCGTCTTTGTTTCCATCAGACATGTCGTGTCGATCACGTCTGGCTACTCTAAATGAGAAGCTGACAGCGCTGGAGAGGAGGATTGAATACATTGAAGCAAGAGTAAGTATGCAATGTGTTTGATTGGTTTGTTTGATGCCATTCCTGAGTTTTCAACATACTCAAAGATGTTTGTCCTTACAGGTGACAAAAGGAGAGACCCTGACCTAAAGTTCCTCATGGAAATTCACAGCATCCTTGTTACCCTTACCCGCCTACTAATTCCAACTCATTGGAAAAATGAGACGGACACCACTCTCCTTTCCTGGGGCCATGTGGACCATTTTTATATTAAATAACAGGATTTTGTGTTGTTTTTATCCCATGATGCATTTTATAAGTGATATGACTTTGTTTAGAATTTCTGTGATTGAGGCATCACAAAATTAAAATCTCAAATATTGATTTAAAAGAATGGTGTGCAATTCAAATATGGTCCTTAAAAAAGCCTCATTTTTGACCGCCTATGTTGTATACAGTGTCAGTACCACATCAGAGGTTTATAAAGTGGAACATTCTTGTGTGCCATGTGAATCAAATATTTGTGTCTTCTTTGTTAATGAACCTACTTGTACAGTGCATTGTTTGGTGATGTGTCATGGATACTGTAATAAATGATAGCAGTGATCCTGTTTCATGTTGTAGATAATAACACATAAAATCACTGTGACCTACACCACATTTTTATTTAGAGTATAAATCCTAGCAATGGGAGAGGATGAAAAAGAATACAGTTATTGCTAAATTAGTTTCTCATAAACTTGCAGAGAATGACAAGTCTGTTAAAACTGCGTGTTCAGTCCAGATAATGGGCAAAAACGTACCAACAAATGTACAAAATACAAAAAGATTGGGTTTACTGTAACTAACAAATGTGTAGAACATTACACTGGTTTATATATATAAAACAAAAAAAAGTTACGTGCATATGCGTTTACTAATAGTGTTGATATTGCATTGACTGATATAAACATGTCTTACTAAAAGACAAAAAAGATATTGCTTAGTACATACGTTTACAGATATGTCAAACTATCAATTCAAATTTACACAGTCTTCCAGCCAATGATGAAAGCGAATGAAGATGTTTCTTTACATTCATTTTACACGATTAAAAAAATATTAAACCAAATACACACACAAAAATAACTAGTCAAGTCATGTTGTCAGAAAACCAAAATTTCGACGGCTTCTAACTTCTAAGGCACTGAAATTCCCATAATGCATCACTCTTTGCAGCAATGCATCTTGGGACGAAGAAGGTGTAGTTGTAATGTCTTATAAGTCCTTGAACGTGATATGAAATTTTCTTTTGAAATTGAAGTAATCATACTGGAGAATACTTGTTGGTAAAACATTTTCAAGATAGCAACAACGGTGAGTTAAAACATATACTGTGTTGGAAGTTAAATATTTTGCTTAACGTGTCCGTCTTTACTATAGCAAACGACAGTCCGTTAGCAATGAGTAGACCGTGTCCATGTTGTTGTACAGCACCTTCGGTCGCTCTGCGAGGAGGTTTAGAACCGCTATTAAAAAACCCATATGTTATTAACTAGTCATTATACATGCCTTTTTTCAGAGGCCGTGTGGGAGAAGACACAGTGTTGCAAAATGGGGACCGATAAAAGGTAAGTACGTTCTTGTAGCTTTCGCCATGATGGGTGCAGTAGTTAAAATGGCTTTCTTGTTTCAATGGCGCTGCCATTAAATACACTTATATATGCTAAATGTACTCGTAGCCAAATTAATTTCTGCTAGTGATGCTTGACGTTAATTCGTACAGTGCTACACTTAACCCCATTTTGCGTCGTGTCGTCAGTTGGTGACATTCCAGCATGTCGGGCGAAAAGAACGGACGACAGCTATAATGTGATTTGCAAATCTATACGAATAGTCCTATCTATGTGACGTTGCATTTCTAAACTTGCTTTCTAAGACCCAAAAGTATAATAGTTGGAGACTTATTAAAGATATAATACGTTCGTAAAAGCAGTCACGAATGATGCTTGACGTTAATTCGTACAGTGCTACACTTAACCCCATTTTGCGTCGTGTCGTCAGTTGGTGACATTCCAGCATGTCGGGCGAAAAGAACGGACGACAGCTATAATGTGATTTGCAAATCTATACGAATAGTCCTATCTATGTGACGTTTCATTTCTAAAATTTGCTTTCCAAGACCCAAATATTTAATAGTTGGAGACTCATTAAATTCATAATACGTTCGTAAAAGCAGTCACGAGCCGGATGTCAAATGTTACATATAAAATGGCTTGGGCTCAAGTACTTGATCATGCAGCAATCTAGTACATTCAGCTTTGTCACTCACTACTTCCCCTGTACATCTCTGCCTTTTTTGGGTGTTCCAAACCCTCATCGCAACACTTAATCAATCAGCAAGCCATGCTTGATCATTTCCAAGCAATCGTATTTTTCTCTTTGCCACTTACACATGAGAATACTCAGACACAAGGACTGTACACAGGCCATCTGTACATTTTTTTTAATCAGATCTTCCGAGATTCTTAATTTACTGCAGAAGTTTTGGCAACAAGACAGGGTTAAAAGATTACACCTTTTATTTTGTACTTTTCTTAAATATTACATTAATATATATTTAAACATATTCATACCTTTTTTTATTATGAAACTCATTTTGAATTGTCTTTCGATAAGGATTAGTCGAACAGAGCGAAGTGGCAGATATGGTTCCGACCAGCCTCGTGATGAATTGGACTGGCGTGATAGAAGAGACCGAGATCAGGAGCGCGATCATAACATGCGCCGCTGGGGAGACGAGAGGCGCGGTGATCGCTACGATGGAGAGCGCAGGGGATCACGAGACAGTCCTGAGGTATTTCTCATATTCAATAAACTTGGGGTTGTAACTTTACCTTAATGTTTTATTGTTATGAGCTGTAATTGAGGCAATTCTTTTTTTTTTTTCAGCAAAGAGAAAGAAAGCGACGCAACAGTGATAGGTCAGAAGATGGTTACCACTCTGATGGTGACTACCCAGATCAGGACTACAGAAGGGAGCCTGGTGATGAGAAGAAGAGCAAAACCATAATGCTGTGGGGTCTTTCTCCTCACATTACAGAGGAAGATGTAAGTACTTCTCTTCTAGAAAAGGTGTAATAGGTTTGTATGAAACAACAGTAAACAAGATTTCTGTTGCGTTGTAGATCCGTTTGGCTATTGACCAATTGGAGGGACCTCAGCCAGTGGATGTCAGGCTGATGAAGAAAAAAACAGGTGAGAAGCTTGTTAGAAGGACCTCACCCTTCCCCCAATCTTTGACCATTGGGCCAACCTGCTTCTGAACAGACCCATTTTCCCATAGCAACCACAAATATTTCATCAGGTGACTTAGATGCTGATTTTAAATTCCAATTTAAGGCTTTCAAATTCAGTCAGTTGGGAGGTTTTGGTCAGGTAAGTAAAGTATCTGAAACAGTCATTTGACAGACATACACTTTGTTGTTGAGTGTGCTTCACACAGTGATATTCAACTGGATTTCTTGCTATGGTAAAACTTCAATGGAGTGGCCCTCTGAGTACCAAGAGGGCCTGGGTCGTGAAGCAGTTTGTGGAAGAGTTTGAATAATATGCCCATGGACTCTAAACTAACACACCTCCCGTCTATATTTGAATGCTGTCTCTAGGTATAAGCCGTGGTTTCGCCTTCGTGGACTTTTATCACTTGCAAGATGCTACCCGGTGGATGGAGACCAATCAGGTTGCTTCACAATCGCCAAGTCTAGTTTTAATCTTGGGGATCTGGAATAAACTGAAAGGCAACCACAGTGTATCAAATAAGTAGAATTAAAACTCTAAGGCTGTTTTAAATAGGTTGGGTTGTTTGATTCTTATCTGGCCTAGTGATATAAAATGACTAAGCTTCTTTTTATATAATCCTGTTAATAGTTGAAGTAGCGTCAAGAGGCAACTGTGAAAATGCTTTTATTTTTATTGAAGGTTGTCGTCTTAAGGAAGTGGTTTTTTTTCTTAATTATTATCAATATAAACCTCCAAGGCCCCCTCAATAGATAATCCAGTATTTTAAACAGTCACCTTCTTCCATTACATACACTGTGCTCCAGCTTAGCCTGGGCACGCGGGTCCCAAACACTGAAAAAGAACATACTATACATCACGCTCAAATATACATCATGTGCCTGTCTTTTAACACAAAGGCTATCTGTTGGGGTTCCCTTTCCCCTCTCTCTCCCTTCCAACACTGCTTGCCCTGTTGATGAGATGAAGACTCGCCATGAGCACCTGAGTGACATGGGTTCTTCTCTTTCAGAAACGTCTGATCATTCAAGGCAAAAATGTGGACATGCACTACAGTCATCCCCGAAACAAGTATGAAGATTGGCTTTGCAACACCGTAAGTACTTTGTTCCTCTGAAATTCTCTTTCTTGTTAATAAAGTACACTTCAAACATACACACAAGCATTGGAACTAGCCTGTACATTCGTGACTTGTATACTTGAACACCTGCATCGGCGTCGGTGGTAAAGGTTAGGTTGTGTCTCAGGTAAATGTGGTAAACTGCACCAATATAGACTGCCTGTACTGAGGCAGGACTGTGAAGGGCTTCACTAGGTGTATAATAAAATTGATGTGACCGGTTACTTGCAGTGTGGCCTGTACAATTTCCGGAGGAGGCTGAAGTGCTTCAGGTGCGGAGCAGCCAAAGCAGGTAAGTAGTTTATCATCCAGGGGCCACTGACGTCCGTCATCATGACAGCCTGTAGCAGCAGTGCTGGGCCACGACACAAAATCTTTTTTTGATGTTAAAGATGTCAGTTGCGCCAAATGCAACAGTGCACAGATGTTGAAAAAAACATGCAGTACAAACAGTGACCTGGCAATTTTACACAAAAACCACAAAGTAGTACTACAAGTTCTCATATATACTCATTTTGTCCTCGTGGTATTTATTTCCATTCTGTTCTGTCATTTTCTCAATAGAAACTGAAACTGGTGGTAATACTGGAGTCTCTGAGAGTCAGAACGGTGGAGAATTCTATGGAGACAGTAAGGATTTCCTTGTTTTTTTTTAAATTTCTTTAGTTTTAGTCCACATCTCTGCAGTGTTGAGTTGTTCTTAATATTACATTGTTTTCTGTTCAGCCATCATTCTTAGAAATATTGCTCCCATGACGACTGTGGAAGCCATAATGTCAGCTCTAGCGCCCTACGCTAATCTGTCATCTAACAACATTCGCCTAATCAAAGACAAGCAGACGGGCCAGAACCGAGGCTTTGCCTTTGTACAGCTGTCCTCTCCTCTGGTAAAGCATTCGTTTTTATCTACTGCTAAATGATGTTACACTGCACTGTGATCATTGTTAAAGTTGTAACAACTCATTATTTATAATTAGACCCTTTGAAATTAAATTTAAAAAAAATGTAACAACTCATTATTTATAATTAGACTCTTTGAAATTAAGTTTTAAAAAAATTACATTGAAATGCTAGCTTGTTGATGTTCTGCACATTGGCTTACTGGGTCGCTCCTTTTCACAGGAGGCCTCTCAGCTGCTGACCATCTTGCAGGGACTGCAGCCTCCTTTAAAACTTGATGGAAAAACAATTGGGGTGGATTATGCCAAAAGTGCTAGGAAGTAAGTGCATTCAGGATACAGTTTCAGTAGTCATGTATACAGCCCATCCCAAAATAGAAACAACACTAATGTATTTCCTGTTTGCGTGTGTTAGAGATCTATTACTTCCAGATGGGAATCGTGTCAGTGCCTTCTCTGTAGCAAGCACAGCAATTGCTGCTGCCCAGTGGTCTTCAAGTCAGGTGGGCTCCCTTTTTAATTGTCATCCAACTACAACATAAAGTTGATTTAATTTTTTTATCATCTGTTTGATCACTTAACTGAGACACGAACATAAAGTTGATTTAATTTTTTTATCTGTTTGATCACTTAACTGAGACACATTTATCATCTGTTTGATCACTTAACTGAAACATGAAATGTTTTTTGTGTGTAATTTTACATAATACATCCTGCTTAACTTTCAAACTTTTTGCCAAAACAGAGTTCAGAGGGAATGTCCGAGTTTGGTTACCTGCAAGAAGGTTACAACCCAATGTCACAAGTTAGTAAATCAAGCAAACTTTCCATTTTCCATCCAGATGATTTTCCATCATCTGTCAGATCACATTCCAATCACTTGTTTTTTTTTTTCTCCCCCATTTATTAGGAATACCCGTTCTATCAGCATGGAGCTGGGCCCAGTACTTCACAGGGAAATGGACTTCTGGGAGGTACGTTTGATTATCCAAAACCACAGAAAACAGTATACTACAGTTGAGATTAACAAATTAATTTGATTTAATTTTTTAAGATAATGAACACAAGTCATAATAAAATTGTAAATGTTGTATTTTTCTGATTGTTAGCTGCCCCTGGTGTCAAAATCGTCCCAACCCCAGCTGGAGTCGTGATCTCACAGGGTGCTCAAGTCTACCAACCACACATAATTGCACAGCCTGCAGTTCAGGTAACTCACCAATATATAAATGAATCGTGTAAGAAGTGGAACTCGTCTTGGTGAAGTCTCAATGTTAACATTATAATTCACCCTCAAACCACCTTTGCAGACATTGGCTCTTGGTCAGCAACTGGAGGCGAAACCCCAGACTGGACACCTCCCAGGGCTTGAAGCTGCCTCTGTGTCTGTGGCTCCTGTGGCTGCAGCCGCTGTCGCCACCGCTGCCGCCGCCGCCGCTGCTGCTTCTGCTACAGCGTCTACATCAACAGCCCCTGGACAGAAAACCGATGCCACCCCTGGTATGGTGTTCAAATGGGTTTTAAAAGATTTAAATAAGTCATTGGCTTATAAACGTGACATAACATTTGACTATAACCAAAGTATTAACTACATTTAAGTTTCTTTTTTTGTTTTGTTTTTTCTTACTGGATTGTAATTTTATTGTCCCAGATACATCCAACTACCAGTATGACGAGTCCTCTGGCTACTATTACGATCCTCAGACTGGCTACTACTATGATCCATATTCACACGTAAGTAACACGTGTCTCAAATGGGGTTTGTTTTGGGTGAAGGTATGAGTTGATCAAAAACCTTGTTGTTTCTTTCATTCCAGTATTACTACAACTCTCAGACCCAGCAGTACTTGTACTGGGACAGTGAGAAGCAGGCGTACTTGCCTGCTCCGACGGACGCAGCTGCAGCACAAGGAATGGCAGCGAGTGGTTCTGCAGGAGGCAAAGAATCTAAGGAGGGCAAAGAGAAAAAGGAGAAGCCCAAAAGCAAGACGGCTCAGCAGGTAGCATCAAATATACAAGATCAGCAGATGGACCAGTAACCAGTGAGGGGTTTTATTGTTTTCTTATTCTGTTTTTCTTTTTTTTCTCAGATTGCTAAAGACATGGAACGCTGGGCAAAAAGTCTCAACAAACAAAAGGAGAACTTCAGAAGCAGCTTCCAGCCTATCAGCCAAGAAGAGAGGAAGGAAGCAGCAGCTGCTGATGCTGGCTATACAATGTTTGAAAAGAAGGTAATGGAGGAAACAGTGGATGAAAAGGTCCTAATGTACAGTAAAGATCCTGAGTCAGTGCTTGGTGTTTTTCCTTTTTAGCAATCGAGCGCACTAGACAGACTTCTGCAAGAGCCACCGATGAGAGTCATGGAAGAAGAGCTACCATCCAGTTCAGTCAGTGGCTCTAAGGTACGACCCCCGCCCCCCTCCCCAAATACCTGACCTTTACATGTGCTGAACAACACCGTCCACCTCCGTATGTTCATGTTGTCTTTGGTTTTAAACTTGTGTGTCTGTGCCGTGGTTAGTGTGGCCTGGTGGCAGCTTACAGTGGAGACAGTGACCCTGAGGAGGCGGGAGCAGAGATGGACAGCGCTGAAGTATGTCAGGCTAAAATGACCGACTGGTCTAAGTTGGCCTGTTTGCTGTGTAGGAGACAGTTTCCAAATAAAGAGGCTCTGATTCGACATCAGCAGCTCTCTGATCTCCACAAGGTAAAGCCACAAACAGTTATCATAGTCCCACTTATGGTTACGAAATACCCCAGTGGTTTATTGAAAAGGATATTTGTCTTTTTTTTTTACTTAGAAAAACCTGGAGGTTCTCCGTCGTTCTAAAATGAGCGAAGCAGAGCTGGAAGAGTTGGAGAGGAAGGAGACGGAGGTTTGTAGTGACAACAGAACATCCAGCTGAAACGGAGACGTGATTTAAAATGTTTTTACTCTCTGGTCAATAGTTGAAGTACAGAGACAGAGCAGCAGAGAGGAGGGAAAAGTACGGCATCCCAGAACCACCGGCGCCCAAGAAGAAGAAATATAACCAACCAGCACAAGTCGTGTATGAGTCTGTGATTCTTCAATCATCTACAAATCCCACCTTTTAATGTGTCACATGATTAAATGCCTCCTCTGCCTGTGCAGTAACTATGAGCAGCCAACCAAAGACGGCCTCAACAGTGACAACATTGGGAACAAAATGCTGCAGGCCATGGGCTGGAAGGAGGGTAAAGGTCTGGGTCGCAACCAACAAGGCATCACCGCCCCCATCGAGGTAGGCCGACAACAACTTGTAGATGTGACTGTGTGTTGACTGGCCGTCCTGTGTTGACAACTCACACGTCTGTTATCTTCCTCAGGCACAGTTAAGAACCAAAGGGGCGGGACTTGGCACCAAAGGCACCAACTACACCCTCTCTCCGTCTGACACGTATAAAGACGCGGTCCGTAAAGCCATGTTTGCTCGTTTCACTGAATTGGAATGAGCCCGACGTTGAACTTTAAAACTTGTAAATAAATCAATTCTTTAGAAGCTTCAGAGATGAAGCCACGGCCGAGAGGAAGTACGGATCATTTTCACCACTCCAGATTCTCACAGATTTACACCAAATGACCCCGAACCAGAAAACATTTATAGTCATAATGTTGTACACAACTTAATTTATAGGTTGTATATACATAGTGTATTTACTACTGTAGTTTACAGAATTGTTTGGAATTTTGTTCTGTTTGGTAATTCTTCTTTTCTCTCGTGTCCAGATTGTACAGTTTATACAAATGGTTTTTGTTTGTACATAAATAAATTACATGTGCGACTTTGATCAGTTGTTGTTTCTTTAAGTATTTACCCACAGAATATCAGGTGTTAGAATCTTTGAATGAATGTTAAGGGACCGACCGTAGGGAATGAGAGAAACCTGAGGTTGATCTGAGAAAACCGACTCCCCGTCAGGTGAACTTCACTAACTCAGTTACCATAGTTACCCACTCTCCTCACACTAACTCCCATTAAAAATAGAAAAAGACCAACGTTTCACTGTGAACAAGGTGAGTTTTCTTTAAAACCCACTTTTTTCAAAAAGGCCTCAGCTCCAGCCATTCACTTGTTGACTTTGCTCCTTTTTCTGTTTACTCTGTCCTGAGTTTTTTTTTTTTTTTTTTTTGGCGGGGGGGTTTCTGCCCTTGTGTCATTTTTTTTCCTACTAAGTAATGTTAAAATCTGAGACAGTTTTAACAGTAATATGGAAAACTTTAAATGATGTAATAAAACTTTGTTGGACACAGAAATAACAGGAGAAGAATGAAAATGAAGGCTTTTGGTTCTTACTGTTAATTATTTAACCATCTCACCACAGGGAGGCAGCACTGCAGTATAAGGCTTATTTTTTTTTACAGCTAAGGCTGTGTTACTCTCTGTAAATTAATTAAAATATATCTGTACTTGTTGAGCTTTTACATTGTTGTACAAAGAGAATATCAAATTCTGCTTCATTCAGTGGAACACAGGCTCATGTGATATTTTCATAAGGTTAGTCACAGAACCTTTAACCCTTTAACCCTCCCGGGGGAGGCTTTTAATTTTAGGCCAAAGCCTTCCTACTTATTTCAGATTATTTACACAAATGACTGTGTGAGCCGCTGTGTGTGTGTGTGTTTGTGTAGGTATGTATACATGTACGACTGTATACATGTACGTGTGTATGCACGTCTTTTGTGTTGCCACAGTGGGAGGCTTCTGAGCGTCGGATGAAAACGTTTTGACACCAATAATAACAGGAGCTTCATATATAAAATGTCTTCCTGTAGATGGACAATGACAGACTGTTTACATGAGCAGAGACTACAAAGTACTGGAGCAACAAAGCTGCTGCTGCTGCTGCTGCTGCTGCTGCTGCTCTATGCTACAGACCATTGAACCTATACATCCACAGTCTGTCTGTGTTTGTGCTGAGGCTCCATAAACAAACACGGGTTTATTTCAAAGCGCCGACGCCGTCTGGTTCTTGGAAACCTCCTTCACGTCTTGGTCTGAAACGTTCTTTACTTTTGGAACCGCCTCAGTCACATTGTTGTCACCATCAATCCACCGAAGCCTTTTCTCTCTCACATCCCTTTTCTCATCAGCCAATCACAGCCCTCCGTCTCAGGTACACCTCACCGTCACACCTGTGATCAATTAACAGAACCCAGTGTGTGATTGTACTGTGATCAGTACTACAAATACTATAGTACTGATCACAGTATTTGTAGTGTGATGCAGAGAAGACTGGGAATCGAACCAGCAAACCACTGATCCACCATGTTTGCTGTGGTCGTTATTATTATTACATTATATTTTTATATGTAAAATCACTTTGTATTTCTGTTTACATTTACAAAAAAAACAAGAAAAAAAAACCCATTAAACTCCATCAGTCACCACCAGGGATGCAAGTGTAAGGCATGGCCCCTGAACACTGCTCCACCATGAACCCTACCTTGAGCATCATCATCACGTTTTTTTTTGCCACGTATTTATTTAGACTGTGACAAATATAAACCTTAGACCAGGTTTATATATTTGTAAATCATGTTTTACCAAAATTTATTTTTTTAAATTAGTTATTTTAATTTTTTTAGAGAATTCCTTCTTTGTGGAATTCTGGTCTTTGTCTCTGGTTGTGAGTCTGATTCTCTGCTTCATCCAAGGACAGAAATCCAGGTCCATTCAAGTGTAAAGGGGGGGGGGCAGGGGTGATCAGTTGAACCTGAACACCTGACAGAGATGATTAAACTGGTCACACGTGTCAGTGATGGTCGGTTCCTACGGTCAGTTGTTGAAACTGTCTAAAATAATGCGTCTTTTTTTTCGACCAGCCCTCCCGGCACACACACACACACACACACACACACAGAGCCCCCCCGGGTCCCCTCCCCCGTGCCCCCCCTTCACCTTATGACCCAAAGAGGTGGTGAAAGCCTCAGTGAGCTCGGGTTTGGGGAGGGTGCACGGAGGAGGAGGAGGCGGGTCCACGGCGACCCCCACACTTCACTCATTCAACGACCATTTTTCAGAGCGCGTTTCAGTAGCTGCTGTGGAGAGCGACGTGCCGAGTGCGCACAAAAAAAAAAAAAAAAGAAAAGAAAAAAAAAATACATCCGATGTAAACGCAGAGAGAAGCGACCGAAAAAACACGAGAGAACCCGAAGAATCGATCTTTATATTTCTGCCGCTCGGCGTCGCCGGAGGAGTTAACCTGGGGTCGGTGTCCAGAGAGCCGTCGGTGAGTCACAGCCGCCTGCTGCATCTGAGCTAAAACAGCTGTAATGGCACATGTGTCGCAGGTGACGCGAATATGTTGGCGTTGTTTTTGAGTTGGTATGAAACGCGGCAAACGCAGGAAACCGTGGGAGATTCGAGATTCTAGATTTCCAGGCTTGGCACATGTTGAAATGCGCGCGGTGAAAGGATGGAAACGCGCAGTCTCCACTGGAGCCCGAGTGCGTGAATGTGGCACATGGTGCACAATAGTGGAATATTAGGCTTTGTCTCCCAAAGAGTGGGGGGGTTGGGAGATCAATAATAGGGAGAATGGCACGTCGGGAGAGTGGGGGGGTTGGGAGATCAATAATGGGGAGAATGGCATGTCGGCCCCCCCCCCGCGATGAGCGCCACGTCCAGATGTCACCACCATGTGCACGGAGACAGCGTCACCGTGGGCTCAGTTTCCCCTCAGCCTTGTCTTCCTGACGCAGAGTCTAAACTAAAGTGAAAAGGCTTTAAAAACAGCGACCACTGGATGGATGGCACTGCGCCTGCGTGACACACTGTGCAGTGTGGCACATTTTACCTTTCGTTTTACGCAAACGTGACCAAGATTATTTCGTTGACGTGACACTGACACAGTTTTGTTTTTTTAAAATATGTTTCCAAATATACCCACGTGACCCGCCGCGTCTGTGGCCCACAGTCTTTAAGGTCTGTAGCTGCCTGTACTGCTAAATATAGTTGTGTCTGTCCATGTGGAGGAGGTCACTGCTGCACAGTGGAAGAGTTGTCTGATTGTTGGAGGCTAACGTTTCTGAATCAGAGTGCGCTTTAGGCTAGCAGGTTAAAAAAGAAACCCACAAAAACCCAACGATGTTTCTCACTTGTTGTCATTCAGTGTCAGTTAAAGGTATTTCTCTCACTCCTTGTCTAATATCTGACCGACTTGTCCCTGCTGGTCCAAGCAGGTCATTGTTTTCTTTTGTCACGACATGCTAGTCGTGATCGTTAGCTGTGTTTCAGAAATGTATTTTTCACTTAATTGGTCTGAAAAGTTTTTTTTATTTATTGCAAATAATTTTTCTTTGTCGTCGATGCAGTGTGACAGGCAGAACAGTTTAATACTCTTCCACTAGGTGGCTGTAGATGGCTATGAAAACTGAAAAAAATGAGTGTTTGTCTTTCTTCAATTCCTGCGAGTATTAGAGCGTTGTGTTCAACTAAACAGGTTGAGTCAGTGAATATAAACTAAAAGATTATTATATTTCTTACTAACTTTTTGGTGAGGTTTATGTTTGGTGTTCGGTCTCAAAAAAGTTCAGGGAAACTCTGGTCTAAATCATACAACAAAGAACGTTACGAACCGAAGACATGAAGCAAAACTACTTTGATTAGTAAAGTTTTGAGATGGAGCAGAGACGCCGATGAAGTTCTTAAATTCTGACGTGACTTTTTTTTTCTCTGTTTTGACCTCGTCCTGAATAAAAATGAAGACGGTGAATTTCTGAACACTTCCTGAGGCTGAGTGCTGTTTTCACACTGATTTAACTCTAATCCCTGAGTCTAAGTCTTCACGTGTGTGACGTTGAAATCTGCTCAACGATTCACGCCAAAGTCCAGACAGGAAGTCACAGTAATGAGGAGAAATCACACAAGGAGAACAGAACGTTGTTGTGTATCTGTGGACGCGCGTGTTAATCTGATCTAATCTAATCTAATCTAATCTAATCGATCTTCTTTATTCTCCTCCCGTCTCGTCCTGTTCTTCTTTGTGTTTCACGTCGACGCTCGTCTTTGCTCTGATGATGTGTTTTGATGTCTGTGATGTCATCCAGACCGCGCCCTGTCTCTGTTGACGTTGCCGTCGTGTCCTGCTGTCCATCATGTCTTTGGGCACATCTGTTCGTGTTAGGGCCCTGAAAATGTCCCCAAATGTCCCCAAACAATCGTCTCTTAAGAAACTACACAGATTTATTTAGTTGTATTTTTTACCAGTTAAAAAATTGTTACCAGCCAAGTCGACCTCTTGACCTCTCGACCTCTCAGCTGGTTTATTATTTTGGCCAACGACACAAAGTATAGGAGCGATGGCTTCACAGGAAAGTCGGTGATTTACAATAAAAAAAACCCTCAGTTTTGCTGCTGGTGAATGAACGTCAGAGTGGACGACGGTCCTGGACCAGAACCAGTCAAACGTTGGCCTGAAAAACTGGATCAAACTGCAGCCGGGTCAGTGGATGAACTGATGTGGCGTCGAAGCGTGACTCTTGACTGAGCCGTCTGTGTATTCAAGGGGGTGTGAGGTTGTGTTTTTGACTTTGCCCCTCTCTTAACACAAACACCCTATATGGGCTTCACGTCGCGTCCATCGTGGGGAAGAATGAGCCGATAAGCTCGGGCCGCGGTCACTGACCTGACTGCGGAGCAGTGGGAGCAGGAGCTCAACAGGTGCACCGTGCGAGGGGAGGGGGGAGAGGGGGGGGGTGTTTTATCAATATGGGAGACGGCCAGCTGTGCCCTCCCGTCACAGTGGAGACCTGCGGGTGTCGGGCTCCGAGTGTTAGGTGTCACACGTCCCTGGAAGTTGTTAGAGGAGCAGACGAGGCGGCGTTCGTTCGTCGTTGAACATTTCACATTTCAACAAAATCCGTTCAGTGACACTCAACACACCAACGCCTGGAATTTGAACCGACCAATCTGCTGATCACAAGCTCAGACCTTCAGCCTGTGTGTGTGTGTGTGTGAGTGTGTGTGTTTGGTGAATAATCGGACCGTCCGGCTCCTCTGACGTCTCTCTCTCCTATCACAGAATTTGATGAATTTTTTCAGCTGCCGTCTCACTGCACAGCTGCACCGACGTTAGATTAATAATCTGGTTGGACATGGTGCAGGAGTGCGATGTTTCTCTGTGGATTTGTCACAGTGTTGTTCTGGGTTCTTGTTGCTTCTTTGAGAATTTTCACACGGCGGTCAAACACCAGTCGACCGGATCAAAAATATAACAAAAAATCTAACAAATGTGAAATCTTCAGTACCAGTTTATACCAGTCCTGTTAGTCTTGACACAGATAAGAAAAAAAAACTGTGCCACCCCATTCGGCCCCCC